TCTAACAAAGAATTGTAGAGAAGCGAAAAGATATCCTAAGTAGTACATATTCGATGCTGTTTTTTCTCTGAGTCAACAGGGAAGCTCCTCTACTGGCTTTGTCACTCAGAAACATGACAATTTTAAGTAATTTGTTTTCCCCTTTCTCCCCTCCAGAATTGGTAGGATAAAGAATTCCCCTTCCACATTCAGTGTCACATCAACCTGCAGCCACACACATGCTGCAGGAATGTTTCTTGGCTCTTCTGATAAAAAAAAAATATATTCTTGTATTTCACAGGCAATTTAAAGTGTCTGTGGTTTATATGTACTTGTATTAGTTACATAGACAAAAATGGCAGTTTTTCTGTGATTGAAATTAATGAAAACTCATGTAATCCCAGAAAAAAATTAATGTAGTAGCAATGGAATTGTCTTAGCACTATACTTATCTTAGATGACAGCTCCTTCACTAGGAGCCTACTAGCTACACTAGTTTTCCAAAGATTTTCTAGAGGTCTTCAGAAGGGATGAGTTACATCTCTCCTCATTTATGTAATCTCCTCCCTCAGCATTATACACATTTTCATTGTTCACAGAAGTACTTGTAAGGTCTGCGTACAAAAGAGGAATGGTGTCATGGAGGTGAGTGAGCCCCACTTGTATGAAGCAAGAGGGCCAAGTATACTAAAACTGTCTTTAGGCACTGATCAGGCAATGGGTATAGTCCAGCTCCATATTTGTGACCAGGGTGCTAATTTTTATAGTTTGGAATATTTGGAGGCAATACACAATTTGAAATCCATCATGTTGCAGATGAAAGTAAAAAATAAAATGTGGTTGGTGATTAGCATCAGCTAAAAATGTGGTATAGATTTGATCTTTTATGGGCAAGATTGACTATCTTTTGGTCAATGATAATGTATCATGCAGTGTGATTGGTTTTTGTTTTTACTCAGCAAAACATGTTTTTAATATGATCGGATAGTTGCTGAGGTTTATGTAATTTCTGGTTCTATACCAGCACCTTCCTTACCAATAAATTCTTCATTTTGAATCTTATTAGTGAAAACAAAACTTACAACTAGGTTTATAGATTCTGGTACAAATGTTCTGCTGGCAGAAGCAACACAATTCAATGTAGCTGCATTTGCTTACACTTTGGCCTGTGGTCTCATGACCTGGAATATAAAATATATTAAATTTTCTGGACTGAGGCCTTTTCAAATATACAGACTGTACTTAACTATAACACATGAAGCTTTTGCCTGTCCTTGTAGAGCTTAAAACGTATTTACTGAAGCAAGCAGGTTAAGCAAGGTGAAAAACATTGAGATTTCTCTTTCATAAGAGTCAGAGTACCTGGAGCCGTGATAAAGGAAAGCATTTAAGCACTTCAGCGGGACTTAAACATGTGCTTAAAATTAAGCAGTTTATAAAATGCTCTTCCTGAACACAGATATTTTCCTAAACTCCTGCCCTAAGCAGTTATTTTTGACACAGTTTTATATTCTCCTTAACAAATATCAATATGCTTCTAAGAAGTAATAACATATATAGGTAAATCAACAGTTTTCAAATCCTTGGATTTCAAAGACTAGGGACAGAAATTGGCATCCTCCTTACCACTTCTATCAACAATGCTGTTGTAATCTGTCCCTTAATCTACTCCAATGCACTGTAAAACAGCACATGAGCTACCCAAGCGTGCTTGACTGCACTAAATATAAAAGTGAGGGATTGTAGACAGGAAGATATAACTATAAGTAACAGGATGAGCTGAAGAATGGCAACATTTAGATCATTAGAAAAATGTTTCTAAGAATGGGTGGGATTGTCCTTTCCACTTTGCCCCAAGGGCTGTCCTGTGTGTTGCCACAGACAAGCATGCATTAGGCCTAAATGAGGAGGTCTTTGCATCCTACAGATCCCTTAAATCAGAGCTTACAACTTTCTGTCCAGAGGGTACAAACCCTGTCTCCCCCATGCATTGAGAGAGGAGTCAGTTTCTGAGGAGTAACACAAGGAATTTTCAGTTAGTACAGAACACTCCCATACCAATACATCTCTTCAGCAACACAGGCTATTGTGAGCATATCAGATTTGTTCTCTGCTTTCTATGCAGGCTTCCCATAGAATTTCAAATCAAGGTTTTGGTCCCTATCTTCAAGGTACTCCATAAAATATTAACCAACAGTCCTGGGACAAAAGCCTCAGTCAGTAGGTTTGCTCCTGTGGCACAGCAGAACTCCACACGGTTAATACAAATTAGAGGTGTTTCTGGAGAGGCTAATGTGTGACCTTAGAATGAATCCTAGGAACTAAGGTTCATACACATTCTTGTCCTTTTGCTGCCAGTGCCAGGGACATCTGTTTGATCTTGTTTTTTCCAACATGAATATATATATAGCAACACTGCAAAAAAACTTCTGAAACAAAATTAGTCAGTGCATGTACTCCTCCATCTGGGAAAATATGTGAGAAAAATAACATGCGACAGACGTTGGTTCCATTGCTTAGTACAGTACTAAAACGTGCTCAGACATGGTCATGAGTGTGCTATAAGAACTTACACAGAACAGAGAAGTTAGACTTGACTGACTTTAATCTGCGTATACTCACTTCCGATGAGTTCACACCTATTGATAACACCTACTATCTCAAGGACTATTCTACCGTGACATGCTATGCTTTGCAAGCCTGCATGAAACAGAAGCTATTGTTCTGGTGGGAAATGTCAGCAGCCTGATAACACAACTTGGACTTCTCACTACAGCTAATTAAAACTTCTTTAAAAACTCTTTACATGAAGCTTATATTCACAAGTTTGAACAAATCATGGGGGTTAACTTGTAACAATCCTGAAAGAAAATCTGAAGAAAAATAAAATGTTCACCATTGCTATATAAGAATCTATAGATGAAATTTGATTTGACTTCCTAGAAGAGAAACCATACAGTGCTTCTACTTATATATAATTAAATATTTAAATTAACACATTAAAAGCTAGCCTCCAGGCACTTTGCAGCTGGATCATCCTTCCCTATACTTGAATACATGGAGAAACGCAAACACGTGATACGGGAACCCTTTTCTTCCCACTTGGTTATATCAATTCATGCCTTTCTGGAACATTGAGATTGTATTTAAAATAATGAGTTCATTTGTGGATCTCTTACTGTCAGTAAGAGCTTGGAAAAGGGGAGTAAATTCAGAGAAAAACTACACTATTTGATTAGGAGAGGTCAAGCTATGTAAAAATGTATAGCTTGTCAAAAATTATAAAGATGGGTATAACAAATGTAGATGAGTCCCTGAAGGAGGAAGGAGAGGAAAGTCTGGGTAGCATGCAAGAACTTACATTCCTGGTACACAGGATGGGTACACAGAGTAGGAAAAGTAACAGCACTCCAAATACTGCACTATAGGAGAAGTTTTCTATTTGAGAGAACTATTGCATTGTGGAATGACACCCCTACAACTCCCATCTAGGTCTAGGTCCTGTATAATTTAGGTTCAGAGTGAACAAAAGGCAGAGTCTTCAAAAAAATTATCAAGGCTCACATTTGCGAGAGCCCGGCAGGACAAATTATGCTGAGGGGAAACCAGCACGGGTTCGTAGCAGGTAGACCATGCCTGACTAATCTAGTCTCTTTTTATGACCAGGTTACAAAACGTCTGGACGCAGGAGTAGGGGTTGATGTCGTATACTTAGACTTCAGGAAGGCTTTCGATATGGTATCTGACACCATACTGGTAAACAAGTTAAGAGGCTGTGACTTGGATGACTACACAGTCCGGTGGGTGGCGAATTGGCTAGAGGGTCGCACCCAGAGAGTCGTGGTGGATGGGTCGGTATCGACCTGGAAGGGTGTGGGCAGTGGGGTCCCGCAGGGCTCGGTCCTTGGACCGATACTCTTCAATATCTTCATCAGCGACTTGGACGAGGGAGTGAAGTGTACTCTGTCCAAGTTTGCGGATGACACAAAACTGGGGAGAAGTGGACACGCTGGGGCGCGGGGAACAGCTGCAAGCAGACCTGGATAGGTTGGACAAGTGGGCAGAAAACAACAGAATGCAGTTCAACAAGGAGAAATGCAAAGTGTTGCACCTAGGGAGGAAAAATGTCCAGCATACCTACTGCCTAGGGAATGACCTGCTGGGTGGAACGG